GAGTGTCTCGTAAGGCTTCTTTCCAAGGTACTTCATCAAAGCTCCAAGCCCGATCGACTTGTTTCCTAGATGATCAAAGACATCGAAGTTAAAACGGAAATCAAAGAATGTGAAAACTTACCAACATCCACAAAGACATCTGCATTCGGCAAAAAACAAGACACGAGGAAACGTTTAGAGCACAGGAAAAAAACTGTCGAGAAACTGTACATACCACTGCCTCCGTTAAAAGCACAAAACGGTAGCTTGGACTCCACCAGATGGACTTGAACAGTCAAAGCCATCTCCTCCAGAACCTGATAAAATAGGAATGAATCAGTAACCAACAACACAAACCTTTGGCTACCTCGTAAATCGTCGAGACTTTGGGGATGACTCCGACGGCCCTTGGCTTCCGCACAAAATGAACTGGCAAATTCAAGCGTGCGGAGGCCGACTGGAGAGCGCCCTGGGCTTCATCAAGGAGTTCTTCGATTCCCTCTTCCGACCACTCTAGCATATCTTTCGACTTCCACATGTCGTCTGGGACAAACTCGAGCCGGTACTTGTTGTTCACCCGGAGGAGATAGTTGCATTCTCCTCCCATGACTTGAAAGTACCTGGTGACTCTGGAAGCAAGCTCAAGCTCTTCGAAGGCTGAAAGCAGTCCAGAAAATCGGTCCTCGAATTTTGTAGGATCTCCCGGATAGCCTGCACGCACAACGTAGTAAATACAAGTTCTTTTTATCGAAAGAACTTCACCATACCAGCTGCTGTGAGAATCGCAACGTGAATACCACGTTGCATTAGCTTGATAATGTGCGCGATCATCTTGTTATCGCGCTCGATGTGGTGACCATCGGAGTAAATGGTACCATCGGCATCAAAAGTTACCAGTGCCAGTTTTTCAGCAATAGCATGAACCTGTGGAAACGAAAGTTTAACGCAGGGAAGAAAGAAGAAAGAGTTTCTTTGCCGACCTGTGCGATGTTTATGACATGACGAATCTCTGCAAAGTTTGGAGGCACGTATCTTCTCCTCGAGAGAGACGCAAATTCATCGTACTCATGGAAAGCTCGGACGAGAGGCAAAGGTGTGTAGAACCTCCCGACGGAAGGAATCAATCTGCTCAGCGTGCTACGCATGGGATCTTCGCTGTGTTCTTTGATCCATCTCTCCATTTTCTCCATCACCTACACCACGCAAAGAAAAAAAAAAAAACAATCGATAAGAGAAAAATCAATGGTGTGGTCCATCGAAAGAAATATCTTCTCTTCACTCTTCTCGCCAGAGTACCTGGATGGGAGAATGCGTGGAATGGAGCGAGATGATAAACTCGATGAGCCCATCTTGCTCCTTCAATCGACCTTTGCGCCGCAAGACGTGAGCATCAGTGACGCTGCTAGCTCGCGAGACGTGAGCGTCCTCCAGCACCTCCCTACTGAGCAGCATGCTCCATCGCATCTTGTGCTCGGACGATCTGACCTCTGGATCCCCGCCATCGCCTTGTTCTTGCGATATTTCGACCCCATTCCCTGCTGGCGCCGGCTCCTCCGCCCGGATTTTCTCCAGCCGCTGATTCAGATCCACGCCGCCGGCGCTCTCCACGCCCACGGCATTTGAGATCGAGCACACCGAGCAGCGCTGCCGCCGCTTCCTCGCCAAGAAGATCTGGAAACACTGCGATTTGAGGCCGATTTGGGGGATACATTTGCCGGTGAATGCTGTGTGGAGTGTATCGACGCCGCGCCCGCCGCCGGGAGAGGCCTGGATCACAGCGAGCGCCATGACCAGCTGGAGCAAAGGGTTTAGGGTTCTTGGCGGCCATATATCACAAAATAGAGAATATTCTCTTACAGCTATTGGGAATCTAAGGATAAGCACTCCAGCTAGTGGGGAAGATAGAATTCACACGTTGTATCCATTGGCATGTGCGAATGCTTCTTTAGTACACTACATCTTTTGTAAAGTCTTGCCAGTTCCCAAAGTTCTATCCACATCCACCAAATTTTAATCGATGAACACTCTACATTGAAAAATTTTCATACCTTTCTGCGATTTCCTCGTGTTGCTGGAATGTTGCTATTTTTTCTTGCGCGTTTTGACCTTACCACCCATTTTCACCTCCAAACCTTGGCAGCATCTCGCTGATGATTTAAAGATTATCAAAGTGAAGGTACTTGATAAGGAAGAATAAATCCAGCTAATCCACAGCAAGATACCTTAGAAGAGTCACCTGAAAAGAAATGTCAATCCATGTCCATGTCTATGTTGCTTAATATTCATCTCTTTTTGGCGTCGCAATATGATAATCAGCATCTGAAATTCGATGCCAAGTAAAAACTACGGATTTTGCGATAAAACACGATATTGGATATATCAAACGCGATGTTAGATACATTATAGGATTCTGGTTCCTTGTTCATCTCTAACAAGGTGCCACTTTATAGAGCGCGAGAAGCCACAGGCACTGATCAGTGGTATTTTCTGACGATCCCCCTCAGGTACTCCCAGCCTCCACTCTGATACGCGAAGTCCTGCAGCGATTCATCCAGGCATTCTTCCTCGAGTTGAGAGCAACTCTGGCTTGTTATGTGCCACACCCTGAAAGGAACGTCACGGGTTCTGTCCACTGCCCGGCGCTCCACAAACAGCTGCTGTAGACCAGCGTGGTCTTTCCTGAGCAGCTCAACAAACTTGGTGTTGCCACACACGAAAACAATCCTGAAGCAGCTAGCGTCTACGTCGAAGTCAGTGGCTGCTTCTGCAAACAGCTGAGCCGACTCCACACATTCCGCATCATCCTGCTGGCCATGGAGCTTGAGCCATTCCGGAATAACCTGCGAGCACAAAGAAGAAGAATCAATACTATCGATCAAGTAGAAACCTTCTTCATTGAAAATCACCTTCTTGCCTCGGGTTGGCAGCATCGCCTTGAGTCGCCCAAACAATGTAATCACCCTCCAGCCCGGTACCTGGTCGTAGTTGTGGTGCACGAACAAGGCACCGAGGCGGAGACGCTTGGCCACCCAGGCGCCCAGCTCCGTTCCTCGGAGGTGAGCATCGTTGAGCATCTGGTAGGCAGCCTTGTCGCACACGAAGATGTCGCTCGTCTTCCCATCCTCGTCCAGAGGAGGGGCCCTGTTACGAACTGGAAAGAAGCCATACTTCATAGCCTCCACCTCGTCAAGTCCGCTGGGGTGGAGCTTGCCTGGAATGGGAACCCAGCCAGTGGCCTCCTCCTTCTCCTCCGTGCATGGACGCCTTGGGGAGGCGTCGCCCCTGCTGCTGCGCCTGCGCTTGGGGCTCCTGGAACGCGGCATCTCGCCCGAGCGTGGCCTGCGGGAGCTAGAGGCATCCATTCTATCGCCGTGCCTGCGCTTGCCCGAGCGTCGCCTGCGCAAGCTAGAGTCATCCATTCCATGGTCGTCCCTGCTGCTAAGCCAGCGCTTTGGGAGCCCAGGTGGCCTGCGATCCCGAGGCCCGCGCTCTGGCCTGGCAATTGCGTGAACGTTGCCTTCGCGCCTCGTCGTCCTACCCATGCCCTAATCTCCGAGGTTAGGGCTGTTTGATGATTAGGAGTTAGAACTTGACGGTGATTCTGATGCCTTAATTTCTACATCGTTTGGCAGCGAGTGCATTCTTGGATTCGCTACTGCACTTTGTTTGAATTTCACAGCAGCGTTTTCCTTGGAACAAATGAAATCAAAGGTTATCTAGCAGCCTTTTGGATTGAAGCCTTGTGGATGCACAATCCACAATGCAGTTTCAAGTGGCAACAAACAGCATCTAAGAACTCGAGAGTTGTGCATGAGAGTTGTGCAATCAAGGTGAAGATTGCCATCCAAAGAACCCTAAACAGCAGCAAAGTCCCAGTAATCTTGCAGAATACCTAGTATGTCTCCATAGAAGAAAGGAAATTGACTGGTAGCTGCTGGACTAGCAAACAATTTTCAACTTCTCCATTGGCAGAGGTTTGTTGCATTAATATTTTCTATCTAGAGACATCACTGTTTTTGGTTTTGGATGGTGAAGGTTATGACAAGGGAAGAATTAGACATCTGGAAAAATACTCCCTAAGTTTCTTGTAAGAGAACTTTACTTCTCTTTTGTTCTACTTCCTGTCTATATTCTGAAACGGTTTGACAGGTGCAAAATGGTTGCTTGTGGCTATTCACAACAAAAATATGGAAAGTATGAGTGTATTTTCTCACATCAGCAGCCACACACACGAGGCAATTGCTGGTAAAGCTCTTTCCATTCTTCTATAAGCGTTTTGTGTTTAGTTTTTTATTGAAATAGTGAAGTTATGAATTTGAAACAAATTAGCAAAGAAAGTTAACATGCTCTCCTTGTGTATGCTTCTCTAGGTATGGTCTAGTAGAAGTGTAAGCATATTGACACTTATTTCGTTTTAGTTGATAAATTCATCACAGTTTTGGTAACCACTTGTGAGATTTCAAAGCAGCTGCTATCTATAAGTGAGACATAGTGGCTTTTCTCACTAATACTAGTTTGAGTGGTCTATACTACACTAATATGATAATTTGATTATTTTATACTTTTGATGTGCACAAATAAAACCTTAACTTAAGGTGTAAATAATTTTTTAACAAACTAAAAATAACTTTCTATTAACTCTCTTTTATTATTTTACTTCTTATCTATATTCAAAAATGGTTTGATAAGCAAAAAATGGTTATTATTAATGGTTCCTTTGTTTATATTTTTTTCTTGCAAATTTAGCTTTAGACCTCCCCTAATATCGAAGATTAAAGCATTAGCAGAATGGACAGATGGCCTATCAACCAAGACGACCATGGAATGGATCACAGGCCAGAGCTTATTCTGAATGAGTATATTTAATAAAAAATTTATTTCTAAAATAAAACACTTAATTAATTTTTTTAAGTATACAATTTTGAAAAACCTTGTTTAATAAGTTTTTTTATAAGTGATAATATTGATAGCAAATTCTTTAATATTTTACTACTAAGTAATATATTTTATGAAAACATTTAAATTTCCATCAAAGAATGTTATGAGAATGATCCCATGAGAATGATCTTAGAATGTTATGAGAATGATCCCAGAAATTATCACCGTGTACGATTTATAATAAAATGATTTTATGAACACAAACGAAGAATTTTATAACAGAATTGAAAGAACAAAAACTTAACTGCCAAACTTGAGCAAAATTATTTCTCAATTATACTGAATATCTCCTTTAAATACTGAGTTATACCACTTATATATTATTCTCTTTCACAAAAATTCATTCAACAATATTATATATATTTAATATATGATATAATTTATTAAAACTTTCATTAAACTTTCATTACAATAGGCTTTTTATTATTATTTGCAAGAAGCATGCAATTTCCAAATGCCTACATAATTTTGAATTTAATATATATTAATTTTTATAATCTACAACACTCACTATATCTTTGGGATGTTTTGAAAAATCAAATTTTTTGTTAAAATAAATATTATATAAATACCACTATATCTTTGGGATGTTTTGAAAGATCAAAATACATGGTGTGTTAATAATAATAAATTTTAAATTTCAAAGGCACTAAAAGCTATGAAGATTCTTTCCTTCTTGGAATGGAAAATCAACACTAAAATTAATATATACTAAATGGGAATAAAAAACAAAAATAATTTTCTTATGTTAGTATATGGATTGCAAGCACTTCCCAGATCATGTTACTTTGAGCTTCCATACAAAAACTTTCTAGGAATCAAGACCAAGGTGAAAGCTCCGAAATTGTGACGAATTTATCAACTAAAACGAATATAACATCCTGGGATCATTCTCATAATATTCTTTGATGGAAATTTAAATGTTTTCATAAAATATATCACTTAGTACTAAAAAATTAAAGAATTTGCTGTCACTATTATCACTTTTAAAAAACTTAATAAACAACGTTTTTCAAATTTTTATACATAAAAAAATTTAATTAAGGTTTTTATTTTAGAAATAAAATTTTTATTAAGTATACTCATTCAGAATAAGCTCTGGCCTACGATGCATTCCATAGTTATCTCGGCTGATAGGCTGCCTGTCCATTCTGCTAATGCCTTAATTTTCGATATTAGGGGAAGTTTGAAGCTAAATTTACAAGAAAAAAAATATAAACAAAAGAACCATTCATAGTAATTATTTTGTGCTTATCAAACCATTTCCGAATATAGATAAGAAGTAAAATAATAAAAGAGAGTTAATAGAAAGTTATTTTTAGTATGGTATTTGCATTAAAAAATTATTTACACATGTAAGTCCCACTTAAGTTAAAGTTTTATTTGTGGACATCAAAAGTATAAAATAATCAGATTATCATATTAGTGTAGTATAGACCATTTTTTATTTTTAAAAGTATGAAGCTTCAGATTTATTAATTATTAGAATTAACTTAATTTTTATAGTATAAAAAGTTAAAATTAAATATAAATTGAATCAAATTAATAACATTTGATCAAATAAGAATTGATATCATATTGTGAGTTCATGCACTCACAATATTAATTTGAAATAATATATATGCTTATTATTTAGGACCTTTGATCTGAGCATGACAATTGACAAAAAGTTATTCATTTGAAGAAGAAATTATAGAAAAAAAGTAAGTTGATAGAAAAAGATTTAATAGCACAAGTTATTCATTTGAAGAAATTATAGAAAGAGAGAAATTTGATAGAAGAATTAAAAAATATCCAAATTAGTAACTATTAATTTTTTACAAAAGGAATAAATATATAAAATA